CCACCTCGCACCTGGCGCGATTTTTTGATCGGCCGTACCGATTCCGCAGTAGACCGTCGCCGCACAGCGAACACGTGGAGGATCAGAGCAACGTTGCTTGCAGCCATATTGTATTACTTTTGACTGGGTACGTGGCTGCCAAGCAGCTGTTGAACGCGTGCGTGCGAGTGCCAGGTCTGCTGCCGGAGCCTGCGGGAGGTTTCGCGCGAGGAGAGAAGGGTGACCGTGCAGTGCGTCGAGCGCCCCCTGAAAGCGCACATATGGCGCGCGGCAGCACCAAGCGCAGGGACCGCTCGCCCTCTGGCGCGGGCGGAAGGGGCTTCTCGCTCAAGGAGTTCCTCGTTCCCAACATAAGCCTGTCTGATCTGAGCGGTGAGTTGCGATCGGCGGCGCCCAGGAAGGCCCTGCCTCGGGCCTGCGCGATAGCGTTGTGTGCGCGCGCGCGCGTATGTATGAATGTGTGTGGTGTGGTGTGTGTGCAATGAGTGCAGGCGATAAGGCCGCGTGCGATCGAAGGAATGGCGTGGCGAGGAGCACGTGGTATTGCGATGTAAAAACGCGGGGCGGTGACCGCGGGCGGGTCAGCGTCGACCGCGCGTATCCGGGCGCCTTCGGCCCTGGCGCGCCTAGGTCAGATGCGTTTCACGGACGTGGCAACGAGCGTGTTGCGCAACGAGTGTCGTATGGGGGCTGACAAAGTCGGCTAGTCTAATAGCCTTCAGTCTGACAGACTGGGTTGGGGGGGGGGTGCAGGTTTTTTTCTTTGTACCGAAATTCGGTCATTCTGTGATCTGAAAGAATGAGATTGAAGGAGCCTACTTTTTATGAATCGGTGTTAATTAATTTGGTTTCCTTAATGACCTTGCATGTGGGATCTAAAAGAGTGGATTGAGAAAATCTGTAATGTTTCTAGAAGGCTGCTTCGATATTTTAATTGAGAAATAGCCAGGGAAAAAGTTAACTTGATTGAGGTAATTCATAGACGCCACTCGTCTTGTTAGTGTGCGATTAATTTCAAATTGTCCGTTCCAAACTCATAAGAATCTCGGTGGGTTTCCGGGTGGGGCTGGGTGACGTCGACGCGCGGCGCCGCGGCGTCAGTCGGCCATGCGCCGCCCTGCCACCCGTCGACGTGTCGCGTGGGGAGGGGGGGGGCTGCTGCTGCCGCCTCGTGCGCAACCACGCTCTGGCGCGGTCGCTTCTCCTCCTCTCGTTCACGTTACGGTGTGCGCGAATACCGCAACATATGGATGCCACGCGGGGGAGATCGCTGCGGGATGCCAGCGGAGCAGAAGGTGAGGGCCTGCGGCGAATACATTTCTCGTATTTGTGGTTGTTGTTGCCGATCCTAGCAAAAAAAATGTATCTGTTACGGATTGGCAGAGTACACTGCGATAGCGTGGCCGCGCGTGGGCACGTGCAGGTCATTCTGGGAGTAGGGTTAGCGTTTTATCACTTGAATGTTACGATATTTCACAGCTTGTGTTCGGGAATACGTTGCTTTCCATTAAATATAGTTACAGGAACTTGACTGTGTGGAGTCGTGCACGAAGTTTTCGAAGTTGAGATTTATGAAATTAAATGTTTGAAATCGTACTATTGCTGCCAGTAGAATTCGAGAAATAAGTCTGATGCAGAATGTAGCGTTGTTCCACCGTATTTATTGAAGGTACTGGTGGATAAAAAACTGGGATAGTTTTCATGTTTTCTGGTAATGACTAGAACATAGTTCTGCTCTTGTTCACCTGGTATGGACGCTGCCAAAAACCTTTCTATCTATGCAAATCAAATGTCGTGTGTACACGAAACGAAAAGGAATGTCACTATTTTAATTGTGTGATGGACGGTCGGTGGGCGAGGTAGTTTCTTTTCTCTAAAACATAATGTTGACTCGACGAAATAGTGTCAGTGTCCTGTTGCGTTCGTAAGTAGCTATTTGTCAGAGCTAAGCGAACAGCTACGTTTCATTTTTCCGGCGCCTGGAGCTGAGAATGCTATACTGCCTGCACATCCGCGAGATGCTTTCGTGCAGTGTCTGCGCTCTGGAGCATGTCGTGGCACCTGATTTACATAAGCTCCCACCTGCGCACCAGGGCCGGGTGGTCGAGGGGTTTAGATCTTCGTGAAAGCGCACTGCAACGAAAGTAGAGGAGAGACTGTTCTACTTCGGCGCCCGATTTCTCGCCCTGGAGAGAGGCGGGGGCGCGGTTGCACGAAACCGGCTGCTTGGACGGCCCGTGTAGTTGTTGCCGCCGGGGTTGTCCAGCTGACGCGGCACTATCTGGGGCAGTAAAACTCCGGGGAACTCCGGGGAACTCTCGCTGATATATTGCGGAGAATATTTATTTTTTAGTAATAATTGCTTATAGGAGTATAAGAACCAATGTCTTAGATGGACCGGATTTCACGGTCCCATCATTGGCTTAAATTGACCAGTCTTACTTTCTAGAGTCTAATTTCCTCGCTTTATTCGTTAGATAAAACATATATTATCCATTGTATTTCATTTTAGTGGTTTGCCATTGCTTCGTGTTGAAATTATTCCCTGTATTTCAATACTTACACACACATATATATGTACAACACAATGTGGATACTAACCATTGGTCCCGCAATTTTGCGCGTACAAAGTATGAATTCGCTGGACTAACCTTTCTCTCAAAGCTGACTGGTTCTGCAGTGGATTTTGCCGCTAGGGGGCGAACAAGCAATTACACAGCGCGTTTTTAAACCTTTCGAAAGGAATGACCGTAATGCTCGCTGCATTGTTCTGTAAAGTCATTGTTTTGAATTGGTTTAGTCCGTTTAAGCAATGATACATAGTTGCTCTTCGACGCAAATTAAATCAAATAATTTGCTAGGGAACGTATCTCGTGCTCGGTGTCGGAACAAATGCATAATTTTAATTTACTTACGCCTCGTCAAAAAACGAATAGATAAATGGACTTGGCAATAAACAAACATAAACAGTAATTCCATACCCATCGACAGCCTTCTTAAGGTTTTGAACAAAATCTTCCATGGGTGTTGAATGTCTGACTAAAACATACTTGCGTCATTTTACGATCGTTTTTGAAGCTTATAAACATTCACGAAAAAACACCGTGCAAAATTCAGCGAGAAGAAATGTTTTTCTTCAACGGTTGGAACTTGCAAAAGCGGCAAATTAACGGGCGTAGGTGTATCTACCAAGAAAATGCAATCGGATCAGACTACGCGTTTCCACGAATTCGTGCTCATTAGAGGGGCTGCATAGAATGGTGTACGTTCGCAGTGAAAAATATCGGAGTGGGCCCCATGACTGGCGCCCCCACGAGGTTGTTTCCTTGTTAGTCCGGGAAGCAAATTAGGCCCGGAGCGCCTCGGAGGAGACCCTTGGTGGTGGTTGTTGTCGTCGGAGCCTTTCCTCTCTGTGGAGGACAGTTGGGAGCGTCCACGTGCGTCATCCCAATGTGTCTACACCCTCCTTCGGACGACCTTCTAAAGGCACGCGACCTCTCGCTCTGTTTGCCCCGCCCTCCCAAGGGTTCTCCGTATCGCTGGCCCGGCCGTAAAAGAAAAATACGATAACTGTTGGTCTGGAGTGATTGAAAAGTGTCCGTTCTGCGGTACTCTCGAACACGTAGTCTCGGAATGGTGGGTAGTTCTGTAAATGAATGGTAGGAGCTGCACGGGAGGTTGTAGGACGAGGAAACTATCACGATCTGTGGAATTGTTGAACAATTGCAGAAAAATTCCGGGGTTGATAGATCATTAAAGTACGGGACTATAAAGTGCATTACAATTTTAGTGTTTGGGAACAATTTTAGAAATATTGTTCTCAGTAGTTGAGATCAGATTTGTTCGCAATCCCCTTTTGCTCTCAATCGCATAAAGTGGGATTGCATAACATTTGTGCAATGCTTGTGAAAAAAATTGTACCGATACAGAAAGTAAATAATCCTTGGTGGGGGAGGGATAATCGATATATACGTTCTTTGAATGTTACTAGCAAAATCACTTCCGCTAATTCTTAAGCTTGTCATGTTTCATAAAAATATTAATTCGTTTTGTGGATTCTCGAACTAAAATGTAGATGATGCGGGTTATTTGCTTTGCTTGTTCAGCCACCGGCAAGATTTTCTCTTCCACTTCACCAGACAACAAAAAACGCTCAGGTTTTCCCACCCGACTTAGCTCATTTGTCCTCGCCAACTTCTCAATTGCCCGAATTGCCCTTTCCTCTGCTTCCTCTCTGCAGTTGCATTGTCCAGTTAATCATTAAATTACTCTCCGTAGTACTCTTTGTCCACGATATTGAAATGATCATCCACCTGCCGCCTCAATCGCCACCTGACAGTTCGCCAACAAATCGTCCCGATGCAGCCACTCATTTACCCGATCTTTAAGTCCTCCCGCATGCAATTCTCCATCAGATAGGACCTGCTCCCGCTTTCATTCCTGTTCGTGCTGTATTGACGGGCGGCGACGGCGACAGGGGCGTTGCCGGAGTGGCGCCGGCGTCATCGACCGCGCCCCCCAACGTCAGGCGGCCCCCGCAACTCCGCAACCCCCCAACCCCCCAACCCCTCACGGAGCACTTGGCCTCAGAGGACGCTGCCCTCACCCCTCGCTTTCGCCTGTGGCGTGTTGCGTTGCAGTGTGCCATCCTGCGGCTAGGGATTGGGAGACACCGGTTTTCGTAGTCTAAGGGGGCGACCTGGTCCCCTTCAGCTGAACTGTATATTTCTGCATTTCCGAATAGAGTTCATTGGTTTCACTTTGAGCAGAATCTGGAGTCAAGGTGCAGTCGAAATAATGGAGATATTAAATTATCTTAATTGCTTCTATGCCGTATCTGGTTTGGCAAATCTAGGCATTTCCCCACATTAACGAGATCTCTTCGTTGGTAAGTATTCTGCGTATAATGAGTTAGGGAAAAAGTTCTGAAAAAAAGAACTAAGTACTAGACTTCTAAACAAAAACTAAGAACAGTTCGGTCAGAATTGTCACGATGAGCTCGCCGTGAGATCAATCCATTAAACTGAAACAAATGTAAATAGACTTAAAAACTTTGTAAATAAGTTTGTACTTGTAAATTTTCCTCCATTCTCATTCCAATGCAATTCGCTTATACATGTATCCTTTTGTGCAGTTCACAATCAATCACCAGTCTCTTCCACCGTTGGCACCTCCGAGGGTAATGTGCCGTTCGCTTTCACGCCTCGTTTCGTGTGTTCTCTCGAGAGGCGCATGGGGGTGGGGGTCCAGAATCCTCTCCTCGCCGTATCGTTCGCCTCCTTTCCCAGGTGCCGACCGCTTTTTCTCTTTTTCTCTGCCCGTTGGAACTCCCGCGGCCTCAGCCGCAGGTCCCCCGGCTGGCGTTGTCGGTC